GTTCTGTGCTAATTGCGTTAGCATTTTTTCGCTCAGGGCTAATTCAGAGCCTTTGTTATTACCCTTATGTTTCGTTTGGGGGGGGCGCAACAGCGGTAATTAAAGTTTAAAAGTCTCAAAAACGCTACAACTACTGTCACAAACTGGATGAATGTGAAGTATTTTGTTAAAGGAGGATGAAAGCGTAATCAAGGAGCACTATTGGAGTGACTTTGATGGTTATTGGACTCAGAATTAATTAATTTGGATTGCCGCTGTATCGCCACGTGCTGAAAAGTGCTATATAAATAAAATTGCTTTGCCTTGCCTTGCTGTATGAAGAAATTAAAGGACGGCGCAAGTGGAAACAATTCACAAAGGGATCAAACTGTTTAAAACACATGCTCAAAGTAAGCCGGATTTTGCCGATGTGTTTATGTGGATACAAAAGTCGTAAATAATCTACAAAATGGAGGAGACCGATCTGATCGGAGCAACTGTGGGTGTTTATCAATCTCGAGTAAAGCTGCTGCAGAGCCACTATTTCAAGCATACTACGTCATCGAGTGCCGCAGAAGTACTGTTCCAATCTCCAGCATACTTGGAAATCTACCGAGCCCAGCGTACTCCGTTTGGAGAAATATCGAGGCTGCACATGAGTAGACTCCGCGGTCTTAAAATCCCCACAATGCTTTGCGCACGGACCAATTTCCAAAATCTGTGGCGGAAAATGTAAGGCGGGGCCTCTCATATGACGCACACCTGCACACTTGCTCGCCTGTTCCACTCTTTGTTTTCCAAATGTCAGGAAGTATTCTTGACTCGCTTCTGAAGCAAGATGCTCGGCAGACATGTGCTACCAAGCAAGCGTACTCGCGATTGAGAAACACCCTGTGACAAATAATCTGAAACCGGCATGGACAATGACTATGTTTTAAAAATGCGCTTATCCAGAAAAGCCTGGTTTGGACCCTTTACGGGCAGAATAAACATTTCTATCAAAGAAAGAATTATACATTTCTGTCTTGCTATGCCTATAATAGCTACTAACTTGATTTTTATTCAAATTAATTAATCAATTATTTTTTATATGTTATTGTAATGTAGAGACAAGGCTTTTAGTGACAATCATGTATTGCGTTACAATTATATGTAAAAAATAAATAAATAAATTAAAAAAAAAGTCTAAATATGATATTTGGCCTCAAATCATCTGAGGCCTGGCGCCCCCCCCCTGCGATCTTTGGCCAGGTTGGGAACCACTGGATCATTGGATACACTTCCAAAGTGGGTTTCTCTATTGTCGCACCAATAAAGTCAGTTTTTACAACCAGTGGGGGGCCATTTTTAGTTTGGTGGCTCCTTTGGGGAGCAGGACATAACGAGAAGGAGGGAGAGTCATTCAATGCAGAAAGTCTTCGGATACCTCAAACGAAACACATTACTATTTACATTTTTTATTCATGTATTTTTTCTTTGAATGTTTATTTTATTATCTTTTCTTTTTAATGACTGTTTTTAAAAGCCTTTGTCTGAATGTCTTTTTGTAAAGCACTTTGAATTGCCTTGTGTTGAAAGGTGCTATATAAATAAACTTGACTTGCCTTGCCTTACTACATTGTTAAAACTAACTTATAAACAAATACTTTTCTAATGAAAATGTCAATTTGTTTAAAATGTGTTTTATCTTTCAATACAAATTAATCCACAAATCATCTTTCAGTGAAGAATGTCAAATTTGTTAACATTTCAGTTTTTTCCTAGTGGAGTACTTTTTTTTAGTAAAACTTTCTATAAAGAGTATCAATAGCTCATTATGAAGCTAACCATATTGCATTGATTATCCTTCAAGATTTTACTCAATAACTAATGTAATGATTGCCAATTCACAAAAAAATAAAAGATATGACTTATGATTATTATAAGTGTCTTGATGTTCTGAATAGATATAAACTAGATTTTGACTGACGGGGCTCATAAAACATTATGAATACATATATTTACCTTAATCAAATGTAGTACGTAACCATATGCAATTATAGTCCATGCAGTATCATCAGTTATCATATGTGTAAAGTACAGGGAAGTACATAAGATGCATCTACCAAAAATTCTTCTTCAGAGCTGGGTATTTTTGATCAGGAAAGAGCAGTGAGTGGCTACATTATCAGGGGGATAAAACTGCACCATCTCAGGTCCAAACCCCGCCTCTTGTCATCACACAGCCACAGACACACAGGAGCAAACCTACCTGTGCTTTGGAGAAGAAGTTGGGCAGGTACTTCATGGCATTGCCGCGAATGCAGGCGATGTTCTGGTAGCCCCCCAGCTCTGAGGTGCGTAGGGATTTGATACGATCCTGAACATAATCTGACACTTTTACTCTGATCTCCATGCCAAGCATGAGCTTGTCAGGGAAAAGAGGAGATAACTCCACTGAGGGAAGACAGAGACAAGAGGACATACGGTCAATACAGAGCAAAACTGTGACCTGTGAAACTAAAGGTGGTCAGATCAGTGACAAATATAACTACCTAGCAGCCCGCCGTATCCACATCCAATGTCTGCAAACTCAACCTGGGGGGGCTTTTTCTCAGAGGGGTGGTCGGCGAAGTAGCCTGAATACAGCTCAGACCAGTTCATCTCCTCAGGACACACTGGACTGAGGAAAGAGTAGTACTTTTAAATATATTATAGAGAAGAAACATTAAAAATAGTGGACTATGTGCTCTGTGGATTATCAAGAGGAACATGTGGGTTTGTTGGGAAGTTTAATGGAAGTGGATGTTTTTAAATATAACTTTTCATTGACATCATTAAAGCTGCATTGATTAGGATACGAATGTCGATATTTCAAGCAAAAATGGCAGAACATTATATTTTTTGCTTCTCAGATTTGGAAAATCACTGATTTTCTCTGTTTTATATCATATTATAATGTATGTCTTTTAAGAAACAAGACATTTACAGTCATCCCTCTGGACAACAAATATTTGCTAAACTATAGGCAAACATCTGAAATCCAAGGATACTAAAACAAGTATTTTGCATGGCGACATACCACCAGAGTTACATTAAAAGCATCTTTACTTTCAGTGTAAATACACAGTGTGACAACCATAACTTTAGCAGGCAGTGTGAGAGACAGCAGAGTCTGAAACACATGTCCATCACTCACTAGTCGAACGTGTGGTAAGCCATCGGGTTGGAGTGGGCTCTCTGCCGGTAGTAACGTTTCTGCGGCATGGAGGAACTCATGGTGGAGTAATGGAGAAGATGTTCAATCTGTCAGCGAAAAACTAAATAAAAAGAGTTGATGCATTCACAGAAAGTCACGTTTGTTTCTGGTGAGTTTACCACATGGATGTATAATAAGAACGGTTTACCACCACTGGTTGTGAGTCGCGGAGTTTTGACGTCATCGAAAAGCGTCCTTTAAGGGTTGCCAGATTCGTTGAATTTACACGCTGCAAAATGTACACATTCAAACATTTCAGGGGGGCTATCGCAGAAGGTGTAAAAATAGAGAAAAAATAAATACAAAAATAATAATAACATGTATTATAATGTAATAAATAATCAAAAGAATGACGGCACTATTACATTTTTAAATTGACACACAGTCACAACAGTTTTCATTGCCTTTTATTGGTACTAGAATAATTCATATTTTGTATGTAGAGTTCAAAATCTTTGCAAAGAAAACTGAAAACAACAGAATAACTACAAAAGGGCTGTTGGCGTGTACATTTACACGAATGCACATTTTTTTAGGTTGATGTGTGAGTGCAATTGTTATGTATGCCATCAACATCTTTCCATTTAGTACACTGATGATGTCAGAAAAGGAGGGGCATAGTTTCAAATGGAGCTGTAAAAAGTACAATAAACTCAGTTATCCAAGTAAAACAAACATGGCTTAGTTTAATAGTAATTTAAGATTTTCAGATTGGTTTTTTTGATAGATCTCAAGGGTAGGCCTATGTATAAAACATGTAAAAAAAAAAAAACCTCATTATAAGCAGCTTCTTCTTTCTAAATGTCATCATCTTGCAGGCCTTTCCTTCCCCAGGTTGGGAGCCACTGTTGTGGGTGTTTACATAGGCTACTGTAGTTGGAGGTCCACATTGTTATTTTGAACTGATGCCCGTTTGTTTCATCGTTTCTCGTCCACTTGTTGTAACTTACAATTAGTACCAATACATTTGTATTAAAATGTGTCATTCACGCTAACTGAGAGGCATCCTTCTGTAAACTCCTAGAGTATTGTGTGATTATATAGGTTGCTGTTGATAAAGAAAATGTTTGGAACTGAAACTGTAACCCACCCACAGTTTCACATCAATAATACAGATTTTAGGGAATAAAGCAAATATGTTTACTCTATGAAATGGAAAAGCTGCAGTTCCCTCTGGGTTAACTTGTGCTCTTAGTAAACTCAACTGTCCTTCTCAATTCAGGCTGTCAATAATGTGGCTACTCATTTTATTTCCCTCCTGCTCTAAGACTCCACGAGAGAGCACAGTCTGCTGCAAACTGTGCTCTATTTCGTTGTAATTCTACATGCTAAATTATGAGATGTATACATTTTCAGACCAACAAAATGAGAATGGATCTTCAGTCAGGCTGGCCCTAGATTTTTAACAAATCTTTATTTGATAGTTGACAGTGAAGAAAGAAGAGCTCTGATGATGAATTACACCTTGTTATTAAGTTTGGCAATATTTTCCTTGGTATATTCAACTTAATCCTTGTTACATTTAATATTTTCCATGTAACATTCAATATTATCTTGTTACATTCCTGCCAATAAAGCATATTGGATTGATTTGAATTGTCAAACCCGGTGTGCATGTCCGTAGATTTTTCCTACAGGAATTACGCAGACAACAGGAAAATCCAATCTGCGCTTATCAAGTGTCAAATTTGTTTTCAAACCACATCGGCTGAAATCCATTATCCATTATGAATGAAAGAATGGAAACCAAAACAAGTTCCTTTGCAATCAACAACATCTTTATTACAAAAACATGAATTGTACTTTTAACTTAAAAGTTCGAGCAATTGTGTTGTATCTCAGAGTTTATTTGTTATCTTACGTTTGATCCATCGATGCTGCTTCAAGTGAAACATCTGTCAGATCATGGCAGACCCTCAGGAGCATATTGATAGGAGCACGATCGCTTTCACCAATAAACCCTCTATTATAGAGTAAAATCCAAATCAAACTAAATGACATTCATTTTATTTTTTCTTCGGAAAGGAAATAAATATTTCAATGACATTTTGTAAGATTGGTCATGGTGGTAAACATTGTTTTTGAAAGCTTTAGGAATCAAACTTTTTCTTTTTTAATTGTCACGTTTTCACAGTCTTTGTTTATAATCACTGCAACACCCTCCCTTTGCCCAAATCTCAGAAATATTTCTCATGGTCCACTTTGAGCTCAGGGAGATTCTGTGCGACCAAAAGTAACCGTCAGTGTTTATGTGGCAGATAAGGATTTAAAAAACGACAATTAAATCCCAATCAACACGTTGACCTCCTCCCTAAACATCGGAGCACGTTGGCCTCATACTGTGGTCACCCTCATCACCACCTCATGGTTGTCTCTGCGCAGGCTGTTGGGTCTTAACTGGCTGAGGATGTGTAAAATGGTGTAGCCACAGTGGTGGTTGAGAATAGTCCTGACATGTCGACTCGCCCTCTGTCCGCCGTCTGAGTTCCTCTCAACGCGAACTTTGCAAGAACTGATGGGGTCTCCTAAGTCCTTTGCTTTCTCATAGTTCAGCACTTTCCACTGTTGGTTCACCGCCTGCCAGCGCTTAAAGATCCGGTAAACAGACGATCCTTCATGGATTATAAGGCCTGGGCATTGGGACAAAGGTTGGGGGAGGTCAGGGCAGGAAACAGGGTTACATATAGACAAACAGTTGTTTGTTCAATTACAATCAGGAAGTACTGAAAAGGGACACATGGTACAGAGTGAATAACAACTATACAATCTTGAAATCCAAAGCTTAATATAATATACTTGTTTGTGGGTATTTTGGACCGATGTTTGGTAAAAAAAACGGTTTCAATTAAAATCCCTTCACAAGGAAAGAAAAAAGAAGCAGAGAAAGAACGCAACAAATACAGTAATGCAACACCAATGTATTATTTTATTTGTGTTGTTGCACTTTATAATAAAATTTGCAAAGTAATCGATCAAACGAAAGAGATAATGATAACAACAGCTTTCGACTATTGGAAGGATTGTCATACAATTTTATTCTTTTGTATTATTGGCAAGATAAAGCCTATAAACTTTTGGGATCTCCCGACATTGCAATGAGGTTCAAATTCTGAGTTTTTGGTAAAACGTCTTCTGCCTTAAACTTTGACCTTCTTGATTGTATATCTTCTGCACAAAGTGGGCCAGAAAAGCCAGAGTATGCATGCTAGTATGCAAATGTGAATACCATGTGAAAAACTAAATATTTGATTTGGCGTACTGAATAATGTGGTAGTTTCGGTATTAAAAAGGATTGCGGTAGTCTTGGTAATAATGCAAGTGGAAGACAGAGGTTCAAGTCTTACCGATGCAAACTATGTCCATGAAGCCGTACATGCCGTAGCATATCTGGAAGAGGAGATCCTGCCGCTGCCATTTGGCTGAAGGGCTGAGAGAGGACCACACCAACCAGGAGATGCTGGCGATGAGGAACAAAGAGCCCAGGATCATGGCCGCAATCTGCACCTTCTCAATCACAGTCAGAGAGAGGGCCTGCCACTAGGAAAGACAGAATGAGACCCACAAATGTACCTGAACTGTAGATGTACATATCAAAATGTTTCTTAATTATGTAAGACCCTGTAATGATGTAAGGTTTCTCAGTTTCTGTAATGAAAAAGTGAACACATGCATGCTTCAAAATTGAAAAGAACACCCGTATTTCTACATTAAGCACACTAACAAAGCAAATACAATCTATGATGGCATATGTGGTAAATTCATAACACCAGAGTGATAAAACATTCACAAACGATTAACAGTCCAATATACTTAAAAGAGAGAAGTATATAGAAAAAGTACATAAAAGAAGCCACATTTCTAAATATCAAAATATATATACAAATGTATCATATTCACCATCACACATATCAGAAATGACATCGCCTATATTCTAAGAATGTTGCATTAACTCAGAGGAAAACCGGCCACGACAATCCTTTAATCTTTTCCTAGTTATGCTGTTTTTCTGAAAGCCTTGCGCCTATGTGATGTGCGTCTTTGTCTCAGTTTTTAACATATTGACAGTGTGTGACAGTGAGTATTTCTTATCATTGATTTCATGAGACAAATGTATGATTACCCCATTTCACTCTCTACACTTTCAAATTAACTACTCTGCCAAGTGGTTCAAATCACAGCCTCATCGGCCCTCTGCTGATCTGCCTTTAACACAAATGAATCTACTTGTACCATATCACACTAATTCTTCCAAACACCTTACAGTGTTTATTCAGAGATGCAGGGATTGTGTAGCAAGAAAAGCAACTGAGGGAACAAGCCTTTCATCTGATAATATCTCTGTTCTAGCATTCAGAGGCTGACGACATTTGGTGATACTGTCTGCTTGTCTACTGTCTGTGTGCAACACACTTTGGTTAAAATATGTGCCAACTATTGTCTGTCTATTGTCTGCAAAAAAACGGTATAAATAGCTCTGTGTAAATAGCGATACTCTTATCTGCAGTGTGCCTTATGTTAGGAATAAGTGCAGGTAGACAGAATCTGTCCAAAACGTGTGATTTTGGTAGTGTAAACACTGCATGGCCTCTGCTGTGTGCCATTACATTGATCTAATCAATGTCCACTAATGTGATCACTAGCTTTTTCACCCTTCCCTTAATCAAATATTGCAATGTGAAGTGTGTGCATTACTTGTTGCCTTATAGCCTGGCAGTCTAATGTCAAGGATTGCATTCATATATCTCCTTTACAAGTTATACCCATGTAAGAGAGTTTTCATAGTAAAGCTGAGGAGAGAGAGACAGAGAGTGTGTGTGACTGTACCTGCAGAGGGTTTTTGGTGCTGATGGCCAGGACCTCGAACTTGAAGTAGCAGATCTCGCAGCTCCAGGAGCCTCTCTCGCTGATCCAGCGGATAAGGCAGGACTGGTGAGTGCAGCGCACAGAGCCGTTACAGCGACAAGGGCTCAACAACTCCCCCTGCAGGACACACACAGCAGCTGCATGAGAAACACTGAGCAGAGGCTGCTGGATGTTATTGAATCTGCCTGTTACAAGATCTAATTTGGTGAAGATGACAGAACAAATAAAGGCATTCAGCATGAAGAGAACAACTTGCCTCCCTTCCCCTATATTGTTGCTGTCACATTGTTATCTACTAGGCATGGTGTTGTTTAAGGGTGTTCAGGGTTGTTCCTCTCATGAAACTGGCCAATGGGGTTAAATAAAAAAAATGGTATAGCTTGATGCAAGCACCGATATAATCAATATAAAACTATAATGTATGTATGCAAATGGTATTATAATGTTTAGGAAGTTAAAGCTTCAGAGAAGCTGAACTGTCTTTGAATTATGCAAATTGTGTTTTTGTAGTATTTTGGGTATTGTGGGTATTTTGAGTTAAAGGTGGGGTATATAATTTTGGAGAAACCAGCTCGAGTGCGCTAGAATTTGAAAGTACGCAACCAGAAAAAATCTGCCTCTTCCTTCAGACTTCCTTACAGAGCCCCTCCTCCAACACACACGAACGTGCACATGACCAATGAGGGCACGAGATAAGTTTGTGCACAGATGGAAGGCTGACAGGCAGGTAGGCCATCCAGTTATTTTAGCCGGGCCGGCTCAGATGATTGGTCGTGCTTTTTAAGGCGCTACGGCTTCCACAGATGAATTTTTTTTATGTATTTATTGTCAAAGCATTTAATATATTCATTGCTATCGGGATGTTAAGAGCATTCCATGGAATATAACAAAAAGTGTTTCTGAAATAAATCACATACCCCACCTTTAAGTTGATTATGGTATAAGTAATAGACTGATTTATTGACAGTCAATGTCCAATTTTGGTCTCTAATGTTGTATTTGGAAAGCTCTTGTCCATCAGTCCATCTTCGTTCCTACTCTCACCTATAGGACATGAAGGATGGGCCATGCCCAGTCAGAGCTGGTTGATGTGGCCAGGAAAAGGAGGTTTGGGGCCCTCTGAAACTGCTTCCTAAGCAACCCGATTCCGTATAAGGAGATAACGATGGATAGATGGTCCTTAAATATGTTAAGACAGTTGATCCCCCATTCAATATGACTAATTGTGGTAATGAAAATAGACTTCGCCTCATTACTGCAAATATGTTTCAAGCATCATGCACTATAGTCATGTGCTGATTGAAAGGAAACTTTCAGGGGTTGATGTGTTAAGAGGATATCATCTAACCAGACATGTTTAACAAATCAAAATGTAATAGGATGAGAGTTTGTGGTTTGCTGGATTTGATACATTTTGATTAATGCCTTTATCCCGAAAGTTTCCTTCTCTTGTGTCACTTTCCTGTAGTCTCAGAAGAAATCACAGGACATCTGGTGCAGGTTTGTGCTGTCAGTACCAGACTCCCCAAGGCCCTCGGATTGACAACACTCTTGCACATCTCACATTATTTTCTGTCTGACTCCGGGTGATGTGCTAGGCCTTTAATTAGTTGTATATCTAGAGGGGAAACAAATCTTTCTGAGACCTCTAGCAAAGTCTCCATCGTCAAGGTTGATATCATTCGCTAGATTTGACGTGCTCAGACTTTCACGTTAGACATGAGCTTTTTAAAAATGTTTTAACTTTCTCTACATCCATCCCCTCAGTTTTTGAGACTTGAGCTGCACTTTGTGTGACCTGCCTATGGCATAAAGAAATGATCAAAGGTTTGATCCCTGTGTTAATGGGTTCTATGCAAGAGTCCTGCAGCCAGTTATTAATAACTCATACTAACTCATATCCCTCGAATTATAATGAGTATTAATGTCTTTAATGTCGAGGAATCTTTCTCTGAAACTTTCTTCACTGTGTTTTTTTAAAGGAGCCTAATTTTGAAGATCAGATGCTGAATCTATTAGTGCGAGGACTTCACAGGATCACATGGTAAATAAAAAGTAAAATCTTAATTGCTTTTTTCTTTGCATCAGAGCAGACTTGATGAGAGGTATTTGAAACAGTTTGGTATTGATGTAAAATGTGTTTTTAAAACTGAATTTGTCTGCACCACTAAAAGCAGCATTTTTACACACACATATCAGTTTGCTTGTTATCATGACTAAAAGCTAACCCTGAGGGCATGGCTGAATAATTTCGGAATAGTCAAAGTTGAAGAAAAAAGACTGGATCGGTAATAAAATTTGCAGTATTGGTTTTAACTATGGAGTCTTAGTATTCTTTGTTCTAAAGCACAGACGTTTCTCATCCCATTCCACATAGCGTGATACATCTTTAACTTTGAACATTTTGAAGAAAGAATCTTCCTGTGCAAGCCCCCAGACTTAATGAAAAAAAACACTGATTTGCTGGAGTTTCAAAAAACTCCTCAAAAAATATTGACATTTGAATGTACTTTCTCAGCCTAATGGCCCTGTTTCCTGAAATATATTTTAATATATTTTAATGTCATATTACTTTCATGATGGCAGGCCACAGTGTAATGAACATGGCCTCAAGACCTGCCTGAACAGAATTATATCAGATGAGCAGCGCCTGGTTCGAAGACCTTTGAACCAGAAAACACCTGCTGCTGAAGTGCAGGTTCCTGCTGGTTCCTGAGGGCAACCCTCGAAGTTGGCTCATGTGCCAAAGTAGGGGTTTGGTTAGGGGGGCCCAGGGTCCATTTATTTTCTCTATAATTGCCTTCGTCAGTACACCATGACAAAATGTATGACTATTTTGGTCATGGATATGACATGTTCTGTAACAAAACATCTAAAAGCAAAAATCTAAAGGTCCAGTTCCAGGGACCACCATTTGATCCCTGGAACTGGATCAAATGGTGGTCATTGGTTGGAAAAAGTTTGAGAACCACTGGCCTACCTGACCCCCTTAAAGCACAGGAACCCACAGTGATACCTGTATTATATAATATACCTTCTCCGGGCCCTGGAAGCAGATCCGGCACTGCGGTGACCGCGTCCCGCTCTCCGAGAGGCTTGGCAGGGAAGCGGCGTCCAGGCCTGCTCCTCCCTCGGGTTTGTCTTCCTCCGTGTCCTCCACTGCCAGGCTGCGTGGCCGGGACTCCGAGCCGTAATATTCCTCCTCATCGTCCCGGTGAGAGCAGCTCAGAGGCGGCCAACCACAGCCTCCTATGGCGAGCCCTCGCATCCTGGTGCGTGTGTCCGGGTGTGTGTCAGTCCTCCTGCTTGATCCAGAGCGCATCAGTAACAACACTTTGAGTTCATTGAAAAACATCCGTGAGATAAAAACAGCCTTCAGCTTGACTGTGGCAGGTCCATTATAAATTATCATTATTATTATTAGGCCTATTATGATTATTATTATTATTAGGCTAATATTATTATTATGGCATCCGAACCATTTGATTCAAGTAGGCAGTTCACATCCTATTAAATAAAATACAGATCTCGGTCAAAAAAGCGTGCTGGAAACATGATAGGCTATTAGATCAGCCCATAGCTCTTTGCATATCCTGTTGTTATAGCATGTGCACTGCTATCCAGCCAATGGGGAAGCATTATTTCTCATGGACACAGCCAATGAAGGCTGCGAGCCACGCACTGTGAGGCACCAGCATTAAAGTCAGAAGTGTCCAACAACATCATCCTCCCATGCCTACATGTTCAGTCCGGTTCTTCATTGTTAGACTGTCCTAGTGTTTTCTTGGTGTTTTTAAATGAGCATATGGCAAAATGTTGATGTCGTTTCTTCCTCAGGCAAAAAACAGCGAGGGTGTGAAGGGGGGTTGATATTAAATCCTATTAAAATGAAGTCAAAGCCGATTAATATGTTGGACTCTCTATTTACCTACAGGATATATGAAATCCACGAGGTGACAAGCGTGCATTCTTTGTTGTCTCGTGGTGGCATCCATTATTTCACGAGAGTCCTTCTTCGCTGTTGCCTTGTTTTCTTTTCTTTTTAGGATCGACCCACACCTTTTCTCCTTAAGCAGGTCCGTTACAACGTTAACATCCAGCAGCGGTGCATGTTAGAGATGGATAGGGCAAAAAGACAAAAAACAATAATCCATTTCCCGACAACTTGCACTCACAGTTTTCTGTTCGTCTCCCTCCATCTCTGCGCCACACAGCAGGAGGAGGGAGAGGGTGTCAGATCCTGCAAACGTAAAATGAGCCGAGAGCAGACTGCAAACGTCCCTTCCGGGTAGTTAAAAACAACCGCACATCATCATCAAATCTTCACCAAATAAAGTCAAGGCCTCCATGAATCATTGTGACAATAAGATGCCTCTCCACGTGGCAGGCTGCACTTTATATATACAGTTTATGACTGAGGCTGCAGCGATGTGCCCGGGATCTCTGGGATGTTAAAGATTGAGGTTCAGTTGTTTTTCAGCTGAAACATATTGCCATATCCATACAGTTAAGGGAGTTTACCATTGGAGCACCTTTCAGCATAATGACGGAGGCTGCTGTCCGAGGTGCTGATGTTCATGTGACGTGGAGGCCACGTGCTGATCCCAATCGGCTGATGGATAAAGAAAAACAATAACGGTTCAACTGTGTGTGTGTGTGTGTGTGTGTGTGTGTGTGTGTGTGTGTGTGTGTGTGTGTGTGTGTGTGTGTGTGTGTGTGTGTGTGTGTGTGTGTGTGTGTCATCATATGTTGCATGGTTCATAACACTCTAACAGAACAAAGACCCTTGAACAGCAGGACACACAATAAGCCCACCATTCACAGAAACAAAACACATCCGTCAACTGATTGTCTTTGAGGAGACTCTTTCCCTGATCATCCTCTACTACAAAGAAAAGCACATTTTTGCGTTTTATGACTTCAATTACACACATACAAATTGATCATGTTAAATTGTCGAGTAAATCTAATTCCCAGGTATGTTTTTATTAATATGATGTGGCTTTGTTCATATTAGATTATTTTGTAATACTATTGATCACCTTTCCAAAATTCCATGCGGTTTAAAGATGAATGGGGGAAAATGGCAGTTGTTAGTTTTAATATCAATGTGATATTTAATGAGGTTATCTGTTTTTTTTCGAGAAATGCTGCCCAAGTTGCAGCAAGAATTGTATTGGATAATAATAGGTAGTGTGGTAATAAACAATAAAGGACAAGGTGATTAGTGATCCTTAATTTAGTCAACATTTGATACTCAAAACAAACTGTAAGACTTGTGTCATAATTCTATATGTGCAGTACTTGACTTTGAAATCACATAAGCCAGCAATGCTGCAGGGAAGGCAATGATTTGAGGCAGCAATAGTTATCACAGCTTTGTATGAATACTGATTGCAGTGTGTCCTCATCTGCATGATAATGGAGGCCCGAGGCATGTTGTGTAAAGATTAGAGCCAGAGGCAGTCTGATGTCTTGAGTAAGCTGAGGCAGTAAAATGACTTCGGATATCAGTTTGAAAGACAGGGCAGCGACAGTGAACCACAACATCAAAATACATAGTTTTCCCCAAACCTATTACCATTTCTAAATCTACATTGTTTTGGTGTGAGTTGCAGATTGTTGAGAATATCAGCAGTAGAAGTGTCGGCCTTCTCTTGAATATAAGAAAACATGATACCAGGCTTGTGGTGCGTAAAGCACACAAACAAAACAGCAGTGTCTCTTTTCTAGGAATCATGAACCAGTTACTAAAGCATCATTTGTTGTGAGAATCTTTCATGTAGGAAACATTTTCTTTCCATTACTGCACAGGAGGCATGCATCAATTCATCAACACCAGCATTACGCCTTTTTCACAGCAGACATTCTGACTCATCATAGTAAGAAACCACAGGTGAAAAAAAGAAAATAAATGGCCTCGTTCCATTTAGCTGCTTACTCATGCTTCATTGTGCATGCTCTCTCCTTGTTTTTAAATGCACGACTTACTGGGACACTTCAATGGAACCATCGGTAATGTTATTTGTAACACATTTGTTTTATACACTCAACATGTCTGCTGTGAAAAAGAAAATCCTAAGAAAGTACTAAAAGGTTGTTAATCTCCTTCAGAAATCGAGGCAGAATGTTTCTTCAGCATGTTCTAGGTTGGGCAGAAAGCCCTTGAGCAAATTCATATTTTTTCCCCTGTCACTGAGACTATCTGCAGGCCACTGTCTCTGCGATACATCCCCATTTCTGGACTAAATGTCTATAAATGACAGATCTGCCTTTTCCCCTAAGCATGGATCAGCAACAGTAGCAAAAGCAGTAGGCTGGAAGGAAACCTGTAAAAGCAATGAAAGACTGTGACCCCAACAGATGTTTGGTTGTGCTGGACACCAGAACACAAACTATGACTGACCTGTTAGGTGATCAGTCTCCATTAGGTTTGTGTAGAGCTTCATTCATGGGGAAGCATTTTTTGCATTGCATATTAGTTTGTGAACACTAAGGCATGACTGAGCAGGAGAATATTGGCACATATGCAGAAGAATGAGACAGGTGATGCATTTAAAAAACTCTATTGGATGGTTTTATGTCTGCAGACAATCTTAACTCACATTTAGATGCCGGGTGGTTGGATGGCCGCGCCACCTGTAACATATTTAGACAAATGTTGTGGTTGGTGTATAAACAGCATAAATATCTTGAACGCAGTTTGGTAAGCATTAATGTTAAAGTACAGATATATTCAACAGCGTGGAAACACTTACCTGTGCTCTTCTTTGGGCTCTCCCATCTCCAACTCCCAGGGTGTGCAATTAAAAGATTCCGCGGGTAAACTGACACCTGTTTATCGTTCCGGGAGGGTTACACTAGGATCCAGTATAGGGTGTGGTGAATTCCTATTAGATTTATGTTTGGTAGCTTTGTTTTATCTGTTTAATGTATGAATGATACATGGTCAATTATTGTTTGTTAGGTATTTTAAAATCAGGATTATTATTGTTTGAGTTGTATTTCAGTTGTCTATGCAAACAGATCTAACCATAGCACGTCCCTGTTTTTGGTAGCACCTAAAAGTATGGGTGCTATATATAGCTGTTTTTTTCAGTAGCCATCGAAGTTGCCACTACCGATAAATGTTTCTATTTCAATTACTGGTTTACTAATGAAAATTAAAGGGGACCTATCATGCAAAATGCACTTTTGTACGTCTTTTATACATGAATATGTGTCCCCGGTGTTCCAGGGAACTCACCAAGTGTCAGAAAACACAACCCTCTCTATTTTCCTCCATACCCAAATCTCTAAAAAAGAGGCTGCAACGGATCTGATCAAAACTGATCCAGATTTGAACACTGTCCTGACGTCAGGACAGTGGCGCTACGGCTATTGGGCCAACTCCACCAATCAGGAGGAGACAGCCACGGCCATTGCCGTTCGAAAGCGCTGGAGACGCTGTAGTACATATGCCAGGCCTGTAGGTGGTGCTGTTCTCACATAATCTGCCCTTGCAAAAACAGAGCTAAATAAGTGCAAATTGAGCGAAATGAGGCATGGCTCAAATGCATGATCTGTTTGGTATTTTGAAAAAAAAAGAAGCCTTATATAGGTATGGTCCTACACTATATTATTCAAATATAGCATGATAGGTCCACTTTAAGTTTAATTTATTAGATAAACAGCTCCCAAATATCCATAAAGCTGCCAGGCAACAACTCATTAAACCTTCTTATAGACCTAGCCACTGTGTACAGATGTACTGTATGGAAAATACTTCAGTTCAGATGTGATAATAGGTAGGTACGGTAAGCACATAGCACAACCATTTTCATTTTAACCTGTCAATGATTGTGAAACATAATTGTAAACTTTTTACTCAAATGTTTACAATACAAACACATAGACACATCTTTGCCAAGAACTCCACATTATTTTTTAATTAGCATTCAAACTTATTAAATTAGCCAAACTACTGCAGTTTATGTATTGTGGAGTTTCTCCTTCTGTATATAATTCCTGTGATTAGCATCTTTTATTTTATTGTTGGCATATAATCTTTTTAATATATTTTCTTCATCTTCAGCATGTTGTGCTTATATATTTCGTTCTTTTTTTCTTTCTTTTTTTTAAGACATTTTATTTATATTTTACCCATTTTATTCCCTAATACTATTTGTGGAAGGCTAAAGAAAAAGGCGTGTCTGATATGTTGGCCTATTGTTAGAATCGGAAATGAAACAGCAACATGATCTTTAAAGATATGCATTTAACAACACTAATATAGAATGAATCTTCAGTATAGATTGTATGATATTTGTAACTTTATAAGGCACAGCAGAGCTTTAAGGTCTTGTACATGACATGCGGTGAAGATTTTTAGCTCCGCCCTGAATAGTTGCCAGAAGCAACAGGAAGAGACAACCCCAAAAAAGAGTGCAGCAGACTGGAAGGGAAAACAGTGGAGGCCGAAATCTTAATCTGTTGATTGGCCTCAGCACATCGGACCCACCGCTGGAGCTGTAACCCTCCGCCCGGACCCGACCTGCTGACCCGCTTCTGGAGGAGTTATACGTGGCACAACAGTGAGCATGTCCTCCTCATAAAGCTAAAGTAAAGCCTACCTGCCGCAGAAAAGACCGCGCCGAGGTATGTGAAGTATCTGAACTATCGTTTACAAGCGTGTGATTCATGTGTGTGACAGTGTGACATAGTTTATGTAATATGGCACAGATGTGGAAATGCAAGTTGCTGACGGTGATCTGTCTCTGCCGTCTGTACTTTTTACTGTCTTCCTCCGCCACGTCAGTGAACATGTAGGTGAGGAGGGGAAAAAGTCCGTGTGGCCTGTTGTTGCTCCACTTTTTAATGCTGTTTAATTAACAAAGGAGAGCTATGGAGGGGCACCACGTGTCGGGACGGAGGGCTTTCCGTCTGTGCTGGCCTGTTTCGGCCTCCACCCACTGGTCCCAATGTCCGGCTGGATTAAGTACATTAATGACATGTGGCTGAGAAGTTAGAATTTACCATTTTTATATACTGACAGGCTCTTCTGGTGGTCGATAGCTGCTGCTTTAGGCGTCATTGTTGTGAGACAGCAGCGACCCTTCCAGCTGTAAAATCTGTCCTCTCTATTTCCTCTGCTGTTCTGTCACTGAGGAGGAAATGTTTTTAGGGTGACAAGTCAT